AAAATCAACATAGAAAAATCATTTAGCATTTCTAACACCATTAATGACAAACTGAGAAAAATGTATGAAACAATTCCATTTACAATATCCTCAAAAAAAAATCAAAACCTAGGTGTAAACCTAACAAAAGATGTGAATGACCTCTACAAGGAAAACAATAAAATTCTGAGGAAAAGAGATTGAGGAAATTATAGAAAGTGAGAGACTCCCATGCTATGGATTGGTGAATCAACATTGTAAAAAAGTCGATACTCCCAAAAGTAATCTACAGGTTTAAGGCAATTCCCATCAAAATTCCAATGACATTCATTAAAGAATTAAATCTACCATTAAATTTATATGGAAACACAAGAGGCACGAAAGCCAACAACACTCAGTCAAAGAACAAGCTGGAATACACAATACCCGACTTCAAACTATATTACAAAGCAATAGCAATAAAAACAGCATGGTACGGTGCAAAACAGGCATGAAGACCAGTGGAACAGAATAGGGACACAGATCCAAAGCCACACAACTATAACCAACTTGTCTTTGACAAAGGCACTAAAAATATATATGGAGAAAACAGCTCTCAACAAAAACTGCTGGGAAAAGTTAGCAGTCTGCAAAAACTGAAACTAGATCATGTATATCACCCTATACCAATATTAATCAAATGGATCAAGGATCTTAATATCAGACCCAAAACTCTAAAGTGTACAGGAAAGAGTAAGAAACACTCTGAATTAGTAGGTATAGGCAAGAACTTTCTCAATGGAACCCCAGCAGCACAGCTTGCATAGAAAATGGGACCTCATAAAACTAAAGCTTCTGCTCAACAAAAATGTCTCTAAATGCAGAGAACACCCGCAGAGTGAAGAAATATTTGCCAGCTACCAATCAAACAGAAGACTGATAACCAGAATATATAGGGAACTAAAAAACTAAATTCACAAATATGAACAGAAAGAAATGGGCAAGTGAACTCAACAGAACTTCTCAAAAGAAGAAATTCAAATGGCCAAAAAACACATGAAAAATGCTACCATCTCTAGCAATAAAGGAAATGCAAATTAAAAAAAATGCTCACCATCTCTAGCATAAAGGAAATGCAAATTAAAACCACACTAAGATTCCACCTCACACCTGTTAGAATAGCCATCATCAGCAACACCACCAACAGGTGTTGGTGAAGATGTGGTGAAAAAGGAACACTCTTACACTGTTGGTGGGAAAGCAAACTAGTACAACCACTCTGAAAAAAAATTTGGAGGCTACTTAAAAAGCTAAACACTGATCTACCATTTGATCGAGCAATACCACTCTTGGGGATATACCCAAAAGACTGTGACACAGGTGACTCCAGAGGCACCTGCACATCCATGTCTACTGCAGCACTATTCACAATAGCCAAATTATGGAAACAGCCAAGATGCCCCACTACTGATGAATGGATCAAGAAAATGTGGTATTTATACACAATGGAATTTTATGCAGCCATGAAGAAGAATGAAATGTTATTATTCACAGGTAAATGGATGGAATTGGAGAACATCATTCTGAGTGAGGTTAGCCTGGCCCAAAACACCAAAAATTGTATGTTCTCCCTCATTAGATCAAAGGCAAACACAACAAGGGGATTGGACTTTGATCACATGATAAAAGTGAGAGCACACAAGGGAGGTATGAGGATAGGTAAGACACCTAAAAACCTAGATGGCATTTGTTGCCCTCAGCACAGAGAAACTAAAGCAGATACTTTAAAGCAACTGAGGCCAATAGTAGACAGGGACCAGGAACTAGAGAAAAGGTTAGATCAAGAAGAATTAACACACATGCACAGGAAATCAATGTGAGTCAACTCCCTGTATAGCTATCCTTATCTCAACCAGCAAAAACCCTTGTTCCTTCCTATTATTGCTTATACTCTCTTCAACAAAATTAGAAATAAGGGCAGAATAGTTTCTGCTGGTAGCGAGGGGTAAGGGAGGGTACAGGAGGGAGCGGGGGGGGGATAAGGGAGGGGGAAGAAATGACCCAATGTATGCACATATGAATAAAATAAAAATTAAAAAAGAAAAAATGGAAAAAGACCTCTTAACCTCTTTGTAGTTTCTTCTTAGTGCAAAGTAGACTGAATCATCTATCATATTCCTAACACATTTTAGGAGAACAAAAGAATTCTGTTAGGTGTTGGATACACTGAGGAAAACTCTATAATTTGGATAAAAACCAACACCACAAGTCACTTAATGCCACCTGTCCACAAGGAGATGATGATCCAAGAATTTCACACACACATTTGTTTATTTTATCACAGATTAAAGAGAAAATAGAATAGTATTGTGACCCCCAATTTTGAGAAACTGTGGGTTCAATGAATTCATAATAATAACAGCCTTTTAGACAAGTGTATCCAGAAGGTTTAGTTTCCAGCAATTTTTCAGATCTTGTACTTCTAAACATTACTCTTCCTGGGTTCTATTGCTTTGTTTTGCTTCCTTGGAGACTTCAATTGTATGTGAATTGGATCACCTTTGCCTGTCTTCTGTTTCAACCACCTCTTTAATTACCTCATTTTCATTCCTTTGATTGTTTCCCTGCTTTTCTACAATGTCCCTTGTGTTTTCTCTCAAAATTATCCTGTTTTAGCCATGTCATGACTTAGTATATTGTGGTATATTTTTTACCTTTTTAGCTATTTCCATCCTCAGTTATGCTGTTTGGTTTTTTCCTTTGTTTCATTGCCTTCCCATCTTAGCCTTCACATTTCTGTCTCAAGATTGTGTTCAATGCTGACATGCTCTGAGTTTGGAGGCCATGTTGCAACTTCCTCCTTCTACAAGTTATTGACACTTCTACTGTCAACCCCAGGGACTGTGTTAGTTTCAATCATAGGGGTTTTCATTAGCTAGACTGCTTGGGTTCTCATTTTCTGACTTCTTTTTGTGGTAGTTTGCATTTTGAGGTCAGTGTTTGGAAGGTATTATGAGAGTTTCCAAATTTAAGAAGACTCTTTCATCAGTGTAGTAAATTTTGCTTTCTTGTTGTTGATTTGAGTTTTTCATTATTGTTTTGTTTCATCTTGATGTTACAGGGTAGCTGTTTTGTTTGGAGGGTGAAAAAAAGGACAGTATGAGGATGAACTGTGTGTTCTTTGATTTTTGTCATTTTACAGGATGCTAAATCCTCTCCCTCACTTCTTTTTGCCTTTGTAGGACAGTCCAAGAGACTCAGCTTACATTCTGTCACAGTCGTCCCACATGTATCAGTGCCATGTCCAGGTGGTCTTCATACTTCCACACTCACTCCTATCCCTTCCCCTGGCCAGTGCTCTGCTCTGTGCACCAGGTGCCCTGTAGTTTTCTCACTTGGTGGAGTCCTTCTCACAGGCCATGGTTTTAGAACAACTTCCAGCCTGCAGCTGGCTCCACTCCTCTCTCTCAGGCTCTCTAACAGCCTGGTTTCACGCAAAGCTTCACAGCACAAGTATGGAAAATGGCCAGTGCTACTTGATGCTTACTTTTCTATTTTCGTTATTTTTAATTTTGACCCTTTCATAGTGAATTCTTATAATTCTGAATGTAAGTCCAACTTGCTGGTGCCAGTAGCAGACCCAATCATTCTAGACACAACTCCTAGTTCTCAGTTTCTCCCAACTCCTCAAAGTGCTCAGCTCAGATATCTGCCCTGCCCCCCACAGCCTCCCATGGTGACCACCTCCCATGGGGTAGCTAGAAATGACCTGCTTGAGTCATCCCTCTGCCCCCCTCTGCATGGACATTGAAGGAATGCCATAGTGACCGCCTAGGTCAGCATGACTGCCTGCAGCTTATGCCTAAAGACCTTAAGTTCACCCACTCCCTGGGGAAACTTCTTAGCTTCTTCGGTTGATACTCTGGTTTCAGACAAAGGCTGTGGTCTCTTACTTTGCTCTCTTGCTCTCTCTCTCTCTCTCTCTCTTTCTCTCTCTCTCTCTTTCTCTTTCCCTCTCTCTCGTCCCCCATCCCTTCAACTGATGTCCAAGGGCTAGAGAAGAGCCCTGAGCCCTGTGTGTACCACTGATGTTGACTGAGCCAGGGAGGAGCTGATGAAGTTCTTCGCATTTCTTCTGGATAAGCATACGTGTCCCAGACTGCCCCCTCTTCCCTTCAGACCTGCAGGACATGCTGCCCTCTTCTCTCTGGGATCTTTAAGTAGCAAACATCTTCCATTATTCTGTGACTTTTGCTGAGCTTCCCCCCTGTGTCTCACCTCACCATACAAGTGCAGCTAGCTCCTTCCGATCAGGGCCTCTGAGAGAGGAGGAATAAACTGGATATGGGTCAGAAAAGAACCAAGAGGTCATTTGCCAGTGCCAAAAAGCTCCTTGTGTCATGAGTCAGACACATAGTCATTAAGCTAAAGACCAGGATGAAGAAGTGTGTTACAAAAGGCACACAGTGACCATCTACAACCCAACCGCCTGGGCCCCTCAGGTGGGCTAGAGCTCAACCACGCCCGTGAGAGAGACCTCAAGAATGAATTAGAGTGAGAGACATCAGCTTTCTGTCTGCCAGTAACGTTAAAGGCAAGTTACACTTTTTGGTTGTGTACTTCATTTTGTCTTCTTAAGGATATTCTGGGTGCTTCAGATTTACTTTAATCTCTTTTCTTTAATCCTGGCAAACAATATCTACTATCTGATTGTGACCTGACCCTGGAAGGCTGTACAGAGAGGTCACAGAATTTTATAGTTAAGCAAATGATAAAGGAATTCATATGAGGTGTCTTGACCCTGCACCCCAGAAGAAATGGGATTCCTCTAGAGACCTCCCCAAAGTCCTCCCATGGGAACACCAGACTTAGCAAATATCCTAGCCACATATGCAATGGCTTGTGGAAGGAGCCAAGTGAAAAGAATGACATTGAAAATGCCTTTCAGGAGAAAGACAGATATGTGCCTGCCACATAGGCTGCATATCTGATTAAGTAAATGTCACCCACACCTGGACTACACAGGGTCAGGACTGCCTCACTTGTCATTGTGCTCCAGGGCCTCCTTGATGTCCTTTGTGAGTTTCCTCAGCTCCTCCCTGGCTCGGTCAACATCAGCAGTGTGCACAGGGCTCTTCTCCAGCCCTTGGGCGTCCGCCAGCAGAGCCTATGAGGGAAGGCACGGCAAGGGTGGGGCACACCCTGGAGGGGCAGGAGAGGCTCTGCTGTTACTGTGTATTTATTCAAGATGTCCCTGGTTAGATATGGGTTCCAATTCAAGTGGGTGTCTTGGGAGGGAGGGACATTGAAGCAGTCATGACTGGGAAAGGGCTCCATAAAATACCTTTCTAACATTTTCAGATTTTATTTTCATAAGAAATCTTAAATGGTGGTGGTGAGGGAGTTCCATGGTTTGTGTGGGCAAAGGATGTGCGGAATAACATACTTCAGTGACATTATTACCAACTCCATAACTATTCCTTCTAAATTGGAGAGAAACAGTTTAACTCAGTTGCTGCACACAGAGACAAAGCGATGTGGCACCCAGTGTGGGCCCACGAAGCTCTCTGCCTCATTAGGTGATGGACGGCCAGCTTTCCACCAGGACAAGATCATTCTGATCGGGCAGCAGACATTAGCGTTCCCTTTCCACTCAACCTCAGAAAGGAAGGAACAGAGCAAGTCACTAACTAGAGGCTTTGCTTAGTCCTGTAAAGACAGAAGCTTATTTGTATGTAGGGTGAAAAGACCCCAAATAAATAATGTCCAAATATGGCTTTGGATTAAGAAGTAAGACATGCTGTGATTTTTTTTCATATAAGAAGGAAGAAACTATGTTTCCTAACTCTGAATTAAAACTTTTCTGAATTAAATTAAAACTTTCTGAATTAAAACTTTTATGATTTTAAACTTTACTGAACCCAGAAGACCAAAGCCACCTGAGCCAGGTGTTGGACCCCTGAGCGTTTGCATGCGACAGTCATTCCTATGGTACATCCTCTCACTGAAACTGAGCTTTCCTGGTGGAAAGCTGTGACTAATTAAGTGAGGAGACGGTGGGTTTGTGTGGAAGCTCAGGGCATGGGTGCAGTTATAACACTACCACAGCAGGGGACGAAAACAGGCCCCTGCTTTCTGGCAATCACTGGCCCAGCATCATTTGTACTCCCAAGTGCGTGTACACTGTATGTACACAGTGTAGTGGTTTCTGGTCCAGTCTTTGTGGAGGACGTCCTTTGACGGGGCGTTCTTTATCAGTCACACCCTTAAGATGGTATAAAGCCCCCATCTAATAACCTCACCAGCTCATCTAAATTATGGAGGAACAAATGGGGCTTTGTGGGCTCAGAGCATAGCATGAATTTGAAGTACCTAATTTCAACTGATCCCACAGGAAGGTGACTTTGATTATGAAATCACAAAGCACTTATAATCCAGAAGGATCCATATGAATTTATACATGTTTAATTATAAACATTTAAATGTCACATAAGTACTATTGTGTATAGTTAGGAGGCTTTTTGGAAAACCTGGGCTTCAGGAGTACGCTCACTGGTGCTTACTCCACACGGCTCCTTGGGATGTATATCTGTGAGTGATGCCTTCCTCGTGGGGACTGTGACATGTGGCAGAATTAATCTGTGTGAGGTGTGAGGCTATTCACATATGCAGAACCACACAGCTCTCAATGTTCTGCAGAAAACATGTTTCTATTACCTTGACTTCTTTCAAGAGGTCACCAAATATCAAAGAGCTGTCACAGATGTCTTTGAAGATCTCTCCGAAGACCTGCAGCCTGTTTAACTGCTGAGGGTGGCACGTGCATATTTTCTGAAGTGCCTGCAGGAAAAATGGAGTCAGCCCACTTTGAGTGTCTTCATTTCCCTTGGTTGAGGAATTAGAAAGTTGCATAGCCACCACCATCCAGGTGTCCAGTCACCTGGTTGTCAAACCAAAGTGACTGATTCCCTTCCTGGAATCAGAGCCCAGAGCCCAGTTGTTTGTTTGCATCATTTTCCCCAACTGTTAATATCTACCAACCCCAGGGAATATTATCAGCAGCTGAAGCTTTGTTACAGTCTGCCTGGACACGCATGTGAGGTGTCCAAGGATGAGCCTCAGCCCACGAGTTTCCCCGAACTGTAGCCCCATGTGACAGCATGGCAAATGGCCTTCCTTACCTTTTCCAACTTCTTTTCGTGGCTTTTCGACACCTTGCTCACAGAGAAATTACTGTTCAGGAGATCTTGCTTTCTCAGGACTTCTTTCTGGAAACTCAGGAACTTTCTGTAGCTATCAGCTTTTGTTATCCCACCTAAGTAGGAGCTGAGGTACTGGTACGAGTCCTTGCCTGGGGGAGACACTGCACACTGGCGGCTGGAGGCCACCGGTCTGTACTTCAGCACCTTCATCTCGGGCAGCCGGAGCTCTTCCCTCCTGCGGGTCTCAGGAGACCCCTCCCCGCCTTCCTCGTCCTCTTTTTGCAGAGGCTTCTTTGGGATGAAATCCTGCTTGGACTCAAAGGCTGTAGGCGTCTTCGGATTGAGAAACCTGAACAGCCGGGTTCCCTGGCCGTCCTCGGGAAGCAGGGCCGTGTTGATGGTGAAATAAGCCAAGGCGTCTTGCAGCTTTGCGGTCGCGTCAGGTGGCTTTCCCACCCTGGTGGCCACTCTGTGGGATGCTGCTTTCCATCTTGGCCTGTTGGCACTGTGCCCGTGACACAGGATAGCCTCGGGTGGCCGGTAGAGCTGGCTGGGGCTCAGGTGCCCTGCCGTGTAGAGATGGACGTCTTCCTTGTGCTCTTTCTGGAGTCTGTTCAGGAGCTTGGTCAGGTTGCACAACGTCCTCACACTGGGGGTCTCACAGTGCTTCCACTTTAGGTAAACTGCTCAAAAAAGCAGGCAGACCATGACACACCCCACGTGACTCTGCAATGAAACCGCCCTGTGCATTGCTGGGCTGTCATATCTCTTCCCGGAAAGGGAGGAAATGGTACCTGGCCTGCCAAGAAACCTGTGCCGGCCTAAGGGGTGACTGTGGGTGAGGGGACCTGAGACACAGACAGGTCTCGGTCCTTGCCCTGGGGACGAGACATCGGAAAGCCTACACCCTCCAAGGCCAATAAGGAAGGAGGTAGGTGTTTTAATTTGACTAGTACTTCTTTCATATTAGCAAAGGTTCTGGAAGGAAAGCCTAAATGTAACTGTAATTCTTAACGGTGACACTGAAAGCCCTCTTCTTCAACGCACTTCACACGACAAGCCTGAGAGTAAGCAAAACGGTTTGTTTTGTCTCCCTTTGTCAAACAAAGTATCAGGACCCCCCACCAGGCCCCCCCAAGGACTTTTGTGTCATTCAGCCCTTCCTCCCCTGTCCCCATGAAGAAAAACCTTGGGGTGTTGACAGAAGGCTGTCTCCTTCCATACAAGCCCCTCTTCTCCCATGCCCCAGAGAGAGGGTTCCATCGAGAATGGGCCCTGGGCCACAGCTGCGGAAAGTGCTGGTGTTCCAGCCAGTCCTGACTATGCCTCTGCGGAGATGCTACATCATCTTGCAGCAAAAGGCCTCCTGTGGACCTGTCAATGCTCAAAGGGTGACAAAAGCAGGACAAAAGCTTGCAGCCCCGCCTCCTGGTGTCTGTCCTCTGGTCTCAGCCATTGTCTCTTGCAGTCACCTGGCCATCACCTTGGAATCCAGGAAGGACAAGACTGATGATAAATGTCTGTGACAGGAGGTGAAGTTGCCCCCTGCCAGTTGACAATGACTCTCTTATTGTTAAAAATAATAAATAAATAACGACCCCACTCTGAGCACTGAACCACACCTGTGACAGTTCAATAAGCAAACCTCTCAGCCCTGCCTCAATTCTTCCTCACGTCTTACCCCAAAGCTGCGGTGCTTGCACCATATGCCCCGTGACTTCACCTTTACTCATCTCCGTATCTGGTGAGTTGGGGTGAGTGGCCAGACATGATGTGTGGAACCCCTGGCGTTGGGCCTCTGGCTTAGAACTCTAGTTACGACCCCTCTGAAACTGAGTTTCTTCCCTCTGCAAGTCAGGGTAATCATCTCACACAAAGCAGTTCAGTGACACCAACATGGAATCGCTTCAGGCAAAGGAATGCTTGGCACAGAGTTGCAAGTACTCCATCAGCCATGCCCGCTCTCATGAAAGGTCCACAGAGCTGACACTGCCGAAAGCTTGTGAGATGTCCCAGGTCTGTCCTTTTAACACACTGCTTCCCAGTGACAGGGAAGAGAGCTTCCTCTGGGACACTGTGCAGCACGGTGTTCACAAAGCTTGGGGCACAGACTTTTTGGAGAGCCCTCAAGGGACAAGTAAGTAGTTGTTCACCCATCCAGCAGGGCAGCGGCCTCCCATGCTTACCACCACGCCTCCACGACCGGCTGCAGGGTGGCGACCATGCTGACCTGAGCCTCCACAGGCCAGGACGTACGCACTCTACTGCTAAAAGCCGTCACAGCTGTGGGCAGCAAGGCCCTCTGCAAATAACCTTATTTCCATCGTGAGGAGGGAAGCTGAGAAGTGTCGCGAGACTGAGCTGGGTCCAAAATGACCAGCAAGTGACCAGCCTGCCGACTTCCCTTCTTTCATGACTGCCTGACCAAAGGAAGGCAGAGGGCTGTCTGGGATCTAAGTCATATGGCAACCCCATGTCTGGGCCCAGGCCGGGTCTAAAGATTGCCTGTGAGGTGAGGATGCTTCACTAAGAGGGGAAGCAAGTGGCAGAGAAAGGGGACATCCATGGCTTCCCTGCTGGATAGGGAGGGCACAGACCCTACATCGGCAGCACGCACGGGGCTCCCGGTTCAGAGGTAGCGCTCAGGCTGTGGGCTGGGTCCTCTGTTGGCTGGAATTGAGGTGTCAGAAGGACCTGAGGCCAGGAGACTTTGGGAGAAAATCACTTCCAGGTCATCCTGCTCCGAATCTACTTCCTCACAGTTGTAAGGACAAGGTCCTCCGTAGCTGGCTGGCCAGGTGGCTCTCAGCTCCATGTCTCTTGACTCAGGCCCCCTCCAACTCAGCGTTGGTTTCTCCTCTTCAGCCTCTTTTCTCCTGACCGGGGCCAGCCTCTACTCTGGGGGCACACAGAATGCCCCCAGAAGCCGACTGGGCTGTGAGACATGGAGCAATCACAGCTTAGTCCTTGTTTCTGCAAACCTGGGGTGAGGCCTGATTGTATAGCTGCACACCAAGAAACACTGGGCCACCTCAGAATTCTGTGCCCCTCAGGGATGTGGCCTAGCCCAGGGCCCAGTCACCCTGGCAGCTATTGTGTGGTGTGAGAAGGAACCAATCTTCCTTCTGTGTGCCCAGCTGTGGCTGCATACTGCAGCGGATGTGTTCTCGAGAACTTCATGGATTCGCTTAGTACTTCAAAGAAGCCCGTTACCAACGGGTACAATATCAATAGAATTTTAAGTCAGATGCTTGTTGTAAACTCATCAAAAGCAGGAAAAGAAACATCACCCCAACTCTGTGGAGGATGGGAGCAAGAGGCCACTTAAATGTCACTGTGTCACCCTTCCTTTATGTCCAAAAAGGATTGGAAGCACCACTAGCTAATTAGCATCCTTCTTTGGAGCATGCATTTAAATTTGATGGCAGCGAGACTTGAAGAATTCAGATTCCATGTTGATCCTCCAAGGTCTTACACTGCGTGCCGAGCATTCTGTCCTGCTAGTGACCATTGACGCTATTGTCCCAATTGAAAATGTCAGTTCATGTACATCCTGCCATCTCTACCTGACCACAACCCCCCCAAAGTTAAAAATATTCACTGAAAATGCGCTGAAGGGCAGGAATGTAAAACAGGTCATGTTAAGGGGAGGACATGAGTGGGACGGAGAGGGTAAATGAAGAGGGTGAAGAAGGGTAAGTATGGCTGAGGCGCTCTCTACACACGGTATGAATAGGGAACACTGAAAATTGTTGAAGTTATTTTAAGAAAGGGAATGGGGTAAGAGGACAATAATGGAGGAGACGAGCCAAACCGGAGTATTTCCACATATGTATATGTGGAAATGTAACGATGAAATCCCTGCATAATTACAATATACTAATAAAAATATTTTAAAAAGGAAAAGAAAATGTGGTTCGCTTATAAATGATTTGGAAAAATTACTTTAAAACAATCAAAAAAGGCCAGGCCTGGTGGCACACATCTGTAATCCCAGCTACAAGGAAGGTGGCAGATGAGATCCAAGGCTGCCCCAGGTGAAGTTAGAGAGACACTACCTGAAAAATAAAAGCCAAAAGCAAAAAGGGCTGGGGGCGTGCCTCAAGTGTTCCTCCCAATCACAAGACCCTGCGTTCAAATCCCAGTACTTCACACACACAAGAAGAAAGGAAAAAGAAAAAGGGGGAAAAAGCAGGGCTTTTGACAGTGCAGTGATTAGGAAGACATAGTCACAGGTTTTGGTTGAATGAGATGTGGCCTAATTAAATACTTTCAGCATTTTTAGCACTTAAGATTTTTAAATAGCAAGTGACTTTTTTTTTTCAGGGCAGGAACAATAAATCTTTAATGTCAACATTATCAGAAATCACTGCCCACATTTTCTGGTCTCTAGTAACCAGGAATCTATGGAAATTTTTATTGGTCTTTTTCCAGAATATCCTTATTCTGCAAATCTAAAAAAAGCATGACACATCCAGGGGAATGAATTAGTGGAAAAAATTCAAAGGACAGAGTCTGAAGCTCTAAGACCCCACTGGTTCACTACCCTGTTCCTCAGGCCAGCCAGAGCCAGGGAGCCCTAGGGGACAGTGGGATGTAGACCACCCTAGGCCCTCCAGGTCTGCAGAAGCTGAGTGGGGCTGTTTGGTCCTTCCTGAACCAGGGTGTGCATTCATGGCCTGGGCTCACCTGCGTCCCACACGCTTGTCTGCAGTCGTTTCTACAAATCTTCAGGGGAAGAAGCCTCATTTTTTTAAACCTTAGAACCCTCAGGAGAGGTTCAGACAGGAAAGAAGTGCTGTTGTTGGATTTTTAAAGTAATAATAAAAACTCCTGCTGTGACACAGGTTGCTGTGCTGTGTGTCCTGTACCAGGAAGCTTAAAGTTTCCTGCACAGTGAGACAGAGTCCTGGAGGACTACAGGATGCCAGCACCGCATGGGTCTGCTGGGAAGGAGGAGCAGACACATCTCCCGGCTGACACAGTTGTCAGCTGTCCCAGAAGTGCTCCTTCTGTCTCCAGGGGGGTGGCACCTGGGCGTTGCAGATTTGATTCAGGCCTTGGACCTTAAAGAGATCGTCCCAGTTTATGGGGTTGGGCCCCATCTAGGCACACAAGCCCCTAAAAGCAGAGAGTCCCCAGGGAGAGGGGCTGAAAGGGACGCCAGATTCCAACAGGAGGCTCTGACACTGGGGCAGGGGCCAGGCCTGGGGCTGGGGCGGGGAGAGGGCAGCGGGCTGCGGGCACAGGAGGGTGGCGGGCCACCCCTGCCACCAGGAGGAGCTGGCGGAGCTCGGCTGGAAAAGCAGCGCCTCGCTGCCAGCGGACTGAGGAGGTGACCGCAGTGTGAAGTCGCCCGTCGCCGCGCTGGCGGGTTTGTCACAGCGGAAGGAGAGGAGAGCGCGGGACAGGGCGCAGGCTGTCACCCCGTCCCTATTGGGTGGGAGGAGCCGGCGGTCTGCAGAGGGGAGGAGACATTCCTGGGGACCCGGACCCGCTCGGAGGACACCCGCCCGGCCCCCAGGCCTGACTTCCTTCTGCTCTCACAGGCTGGCGACAGAGCCCGCGTCCCAGGACAGTGACCAGCCGGCACCCGCCACGCCCAATCCCGCCACGTTCACGTCGGCGTCCGTGGGAGGGAGGGTGCGAGACCCACTGTCCGCGCGGGGACACCCGCCACCCCCCCACATCGCGGGTCACCGCCCCAGGCCCAGGGGACCCCGCGAAGCAGGAGAGGAGCGCATTGCGCGGGACAGGATGGCCGCCAGCGCGCTCGGAGACGACCCTGCCTTACAGAAGAGCCGAAGTCCCACTCTCGACCTTCAGTGAGCTGGGGTAGAAAACCGTCCTCCAGGGAGCCCACGCGTGCGCACGCACCACACACACCACCACA